TACCTTAGGCACCTTGAGGTGACTGTTGTTGCTAAATAAGTAAAATTCAATTCATTTGAATAAACTAAATTGTTATTTTAAACATTGGTATTAGAAATAATCCGAAATATCTCAGTCAGCGCTTCCTTAGATGAACTCTTCTTTCAGTTCAAGCCTGAACTATGATCATTTGAGAAAGTGCAGTTTTAGTCACTTGGTTTGTTTGGCTTCATGTTTCAACCACGCCTGGTTCCTTGTTTCTAGCATGGTGGTTTCATTTGCTTTACTGCTGTCATTATGGGAAATTGACTGAATAATGGATTATATTTAATATTTAATATTTTATTTTATAATTTTGCGTTGTAACCGGTCTTTCTTCCAGTCCTCCTATATTGTCCTCTTGACAGGCCACTCAGTTAAGGTCCACTCAGAGCCCTCATGCTGTCAACACATCCAAATATTCTGGAGTAGTGTTTTTTTTCCTGAATTAATTAGCTCTATATCATCCAGACACAGACAGCAGACTGCCACAAATGTATGCGCATTCACACCCACAGGCAGCAGTTTCGGTTGTCAGGCTCCATAGATCATGGGTCATGTGTGCTTGTCCTTTAGTCCATGCTGCATAAAGTCACAACAGGAACAGATAAGACTGGTCCCAGGTTGGCTTGTGAAGCTAAGCCCCCCCCAGTGCTAATCGGATTAGCTGAAAAGTTAGCAGCATGGCCCCAAAGAGACGCAACATTTTTTACACTGACTTCTGTGACATATTTTGCTCTTCAGTGCCCGTAATCTGTTTCTTGTCTCAAAGCCGTTTCACGTCATCTTTGTCACAGTAAACAATGTATTCAGTACATGATGAACTGTTCCTAACCTTTGCTTTGGATGAAAATAACACTTTTTGGCTGACTGGTGTGTGGGATTTTTATTTATGTGTGCAAGGGGGGATTTGGTCCACCCAGGTGGGGGAACAATAGTTCGCCCGTTGTCTTAAAGAAATGGTTGGCTGAGCATAGCCCCACGCAGAGGAGGGAGGGACAGAAAGAAAAAATGAGTTGCGAAAATGATTGGTGCCGAGGAAGGGGGGCTTGACAAGATGGTAATGGGGAGCAGCCGGCAGAATGGGGGCAGCAGGGTGGCAACTGGACTCTTAATGCTCCTTTCATGCTTGATCGGTTTCAACCAACGCTGAAAACATACTTGAGGGCACCATGGTGTAGCTCTGACTCATTATTTTTATTTTTGTTTTAGAAACCATTGGTATAAAAAAAAATTGCGATGCAATTTGTTTCCCCCCATCTGTATGTAGTAATTATTAATAGACTTAAAGGAATATCTATGAATAATTCCCTGGACTAAATAAATCTTATAAGATGTGTTGAAACTGCTCTGGGAATCGGCCCGTAAAACTCTACAAACTAACTTGATTTAAATTTGGCTGACCTCGCATTCAGTGTGTAAAAACAGCAAATCTTTAACTTGATATTCATTTTGTGTAAGTACACAAAGTCAGAGGAGTATCTGGAAGTAGGGCAGATTACGAATCAAGATTGTGATGATTGAGATTGAAAGAAATTGCGGTGGATGATGGCACACCCAACAGATCGGCTATTTCTGCAGCTATCTGCTCAATACAAAAGTTGACCTAAGCTAAATCAGTGTGAAAGAGAGGTTGGTATTTGCTGTCTGGGTACACAAGTGCAACTGTTCATACA